CAGCATGGACTACATGAACCCCCACTAGTTTACCAGATAAATTGATAAGTCGGGCATTCTCGGCCCACCAAGCAAAATCGGTGATTTTTTAGTCACGACTAACTAAAGCTAAAGTTCCATTAAATAGCGTTTTCATGGACAGCATCATTGTGGTAAAGGTCGTAATTCTAGAGATATCATTATTGCAGGGCATAGAGGGGGAGGTCATAAGCGTCTATACCTTAAATTCGATTTTCAACGGAATGAAAAAGACAATATATGGTAGAATCATAACCATAGAATACGACCCTAATTGAAATACATACATTTGTCTCATAATCAAATTATTACTATATTTATTCTTTTTTTTACTTCTTCTTCCAAGTGTAAGATAACCCCAAGGGGTTATGGGTTTTTTCTACCAATTGGGCCCCTCCCTTCACCACCCCATGGGGATCGTCTATAGGGTGTATAACTACTCATCTTATTGCATGACGCTTACCTAACCAATGCTTAAATCCAGGAAAGATCCAACGTAATTTTATACGAATATTACTGAGAGATAGAGTCAAAATTGAAGTAAGTCATTATGATTTAACTCGAAGGCGTATAATTTATCGTTTCCCCAACAAGGAACTCTTAATCTTATCATTAAATAATCCGAGTATGAAACTCTGCTAATTAGCAAAGAATTTCATTCAAGAGGTGAAATGATTTCTCACCCACAATTGAAATGGAATTGTTGGCCTTGTTTTGTTGTTCATATTTATTTTCTAAATGTAGAAGACAACACCACCAGGTTTGATTAGTCGTTTATTTTTTTCAAGTATAAATAGCATTTTCCACCTTATAGTAACGCCATCATCTTTTACCCACTAGGGTTGTCTCAAAACATTTCAAATCCTGAATGCCCATTTTTCTTGTTTCAATTTTTATCACATGAATGGATTGGCCTAACTACAACTCCACGTATTGGATTTGGACACATCCACTCCTTCACTCATGTCTTTTAGTGCATGAAGAGAAGTCCAACAAAATCTTTGATTTTTCTTAGAAAAATTTAGGATAAAATACAATTTTACTCCCCAAAATATGTCTATAATGTCTATTTGGTCCATAAAATTCATAATTTATATTTATTTAGTTCTTAATTTGTGTCTATTTGGTCTCACGTGATTAGAGTTTGACTAAAGATATTAACGATTTTTTTTATGAACTTTTGGAATTGGACCACATAGATACAAATTAAAAACCTTAGAAATCAAATAGACACAATTGAAAGATTGGAGATCAAATAGACAATGAATACATATTTTAGAGGCTAAAAGTGTATTTTACCCAAAAACTTATGGTAGAAATGATCACGTAAACTACTCATAAAGGCCTCCATTCCTCTATATAAACCCCCCCCCCCCACCCCTTTGGCTCACTTACACAACCCTATAAAGCCATCATACTTGCCAAATTAAGCCTAAAATTAAACACAACCTACCTTCCTCCACTTGATACCAAATACCAAAATGAGCTTAACAAAAACCATGGGTGTGTTCTTCTCTCCTCTTTAACCTATGCTTCACCTTCACCAATGCAGCCACATTTGATATCATAAATCAATATTCCTACACCGTCTGGGCGGCTGCTTCCCCTGATGGAGGCAGGCGACTCGACCAGGGCCAATCCTGGAATCTCAATGTGAACCCTGGCACGACCAATGCTCGTATTTGTGGCCGAACCAATTGCAACTTTGATGCCAATGGCCAAGGCAGATGTGAGACCGGTGATTGCAACGGTCGCCTCGAATGCCAAGGCTATGGCACACCACCAAACACCCTAGCTGAATTTGCCCTAAACCACCAAACAAGCTTGTTCACTTGCCCTAGTGGCACCAACTACAGAGTGGTGTTCTGCCCATGAAGCTCTATCCTTTCATGGCTATATGAGAAAGTGATTAGATACTTAGAATTTTCATATACTACGGTATTGTAATAAATTCATGCACATGTGTAGTGATGTGCACGTGATCTGCTGCTATACATGTTGTTAGAGTATGTATGGCTCATATTTGCTGTGTGAATAATGGCAAGGAGGCAGATGCCGGAACGGGCGGAGCGTAGCGGAGTGGAGCGAAGCGAAATGTAGCGGAGCGGAGCCCGCGACGACATCTGCCTTGCGGGATTTATATAAAGGGGACGCTGATTAGTTGGGGGTGCAGGGGCAACGCCCCCGCGGTACGGTACAGGGGTATTTTTTGTAAATACGTCCGTATTAAGGTTATATAAATACTTAAGATGTAACCCTACTTTAAATAATGACAAAGAACGACCGCTCGATTTCGTGGATGTAGGCACATTGCCGAACCACGTAAATCTCTGTGTGTTATTTTCTCCTTCTTTCTTAATTGTTTGATTCTTTACTATTTACCATAATTGCTGCACGATCACAACACATGTAGACACGTAGTCTTGTTCTATGATTACAAGTGAATAAAGGATGTTAAAGGGAGACATCGAAAGTGTTCCTTTGATCACATTATACCAAGGGTTTTCATTTCTTTCGGTTCATATTTAGTAAGGGTGACAATTTTTTCCACGTGTAGTTCCAAAAAAGTTGATAATTTTAAAATAACACGATTCATTATTATAACTTAAATTAGTGTCGAAGGCAAATAATTCGATTTACGATTTTAAAGAATACACGCACCTCAAGCACGACTCAAACAAGATGCCACATGAGGTTTTTCAAAGATAGATGTTTGAGATGCTTCTAATTATCTTGAAGACGATTAAAAGTGAAATTGTAATAATGATATTTTTTATCTCACTTTTATTAATTTAAAATATACAGAATATATCAGTTGTTACATCATTTAGATTATATTTGTTATCTCTTTTTTCTATTTGCGTAGCAATTATTCATTAAGTATAGCGTTCGAGAAGAATGGATAATCTTAAATAGTTACTAATTAAATACAAACTACAAGCTAGGCTTCTTTCAGGTGTGAAATATTAGCAAGTGAGTTTTGACTAGGGCAAGAGCACTTAGTTAGAAAACCTCAAACACGAGATTGGCCACCGATTTATGATAAAGTTTATCAGGTCTTCTTCTAATCTCAAAAATGAAAAAAAAAAAAAAAAAACAATGTTATTTGAATCCCACTTCCAATCTACTTATAAGGGGAATTCATCCCTTCCACGGAAAGATTCTAGCTGACCTGAGTGAACATCCAGTAGCCTTTACCTCTCGTCCCACATTAGGAGAGAGTCGTCTCCCCTTTGCCATATAGGTGAACACCCACTATGAATTGAATATACATGGGATCTCGGCTCATCTCAATCCGAATCAAATTCAAAAAATCCAATCCAATTATCCAAAAAAGTTCATTTTGAGACTTAATATTTGAATCTGGTGAGGTTTAAAAGCTAATAATATCTATATTTGAATTCAGAAAAATTGCGGCTTTATTTCAACTCAACTTCATCAAATAACCACTAAATTTTAGGGGTGAAAATAGTGGCATGTCATTGCAGGTTCGTGTCGAGCACTAATCAACCCTAAACCAATTTATTTAACTAATCATGTCGTAAAGATTGATCTGTTTATTTTTATGTCAAATTTATGTTCATATTCTTGTTGACTCATATAAATCTCGAATAAAGAACTTAATGCTAAGATTTAAGTTTAAGATTCTATTATATTCCACAACTGACTGAAAAGAAATGAACCATAAATTGAGGATAACTCCTACTTTTCTTCATGCCAAACTCTATCTAGAAAAAATGACATCTCGAACATTTACCCGAACATGCGGGACATGATTTATGACTATTAATCAATGTATGGGTCGAAGTCAATGGATAAGTGTTTTTTTTCCGCGAAAGCTACATTCTAGCAGTCCAAACAGTTTGCCTTTCATAGGAAAGAACTATCAAATTTAAACCGAATCGTCTAATCGTAACTAAAGTCTTTCTTCGTTGTTACGTAACATTTAATCATTTGTCAATTATTTTATGTAAACGATAAATCTATCTTATTTGTGAAATGAAGAAGAAAAAAACCACGCTATATAGATTGCGAGACTTAATTCTAAATCGCGTGGGACAACTATAAAAATGATCATATACCGATGTTACATTTTCTGGGATAGTGAATAGATTGTCTTATGGTGCTATATATAATTAAAAAGGTCACATAACAATGCTATAAAATTTTTGAAAGTTCCGATTGTAGGAAAATCAGCAAAAAATAGGGAAAAAAAAAAGAGTTAGGGAGAAGAAAAGTAAACTGTGGCTGCTAGTTTTCGGAACTGATAGGGACCTAATATGAGAAGCTACGGGGTTGAAGACGTGGTTCACTCAAACTTTGTTCTTGACTTTTTCTTTTTTTTTTACATTCTAGCACTCAAACTTCGGGTTCATTTTCATATTGAAATGGCTTAATCTCCCTTCAAATTTTTTTTCCTCCCCACATGAGCTAGCTTTTTTATGTAAATAACAAGTAGGGAGGATGCAACAATCAGGGTAAAAACTGAGCTTCTAGGACTCATTTAATAGATATGCTTCAATACTTTGTGTGACATTTTTTATTTTTTAAGGAGATTCGATTGTCGATTATAGGACTAGCCTATTTGCATATAAAAGAAAGGGTCATACCCTTTAAATGGCTGGGTATGAAATTCTTATAATTAGCAAGGGTTCCATTCAAGAGGTGATATAATTACCCACTGTGAAAAAATTCAGAATGAATACAAGAATAGATTGGCCTAACTAAAACTCCTCGTAATGGACACATTTCACTCCTTGACTCATGTCTTCTAGTGCATGAAGAAAAGTCCAACAAAACCTTTAATTTTACTTTGAAAAACTAATGGTGGAAATGACCACGTAAACGCCACATAAAGGCCTCCACTCCTCTATATAAACTCCCCCAGCCCTTTGGCTCATATACACGAAACCATCATACTTGCACATAACCAAACCTTCATCCACTTTATACCAACTACCACTATGAGCTCAACTAAAACAATGTTTCTGTTTTTTTCCCTTCTCTTTACCCTGTACTTCACTTCCACCTTCACCAATGCAGCCACATTTGATATCACAAACCGATGTCCCTACACCGTCTGGGCAGCTGCCTCCCCCGGTGGAGGCAGGCGACTCGACCAAGGCCAGACCTGGAACATCAATGTGAACCCTGGCACGACCCAGGCTCGTATTTGGGGCCGAACCAATTGCAACTTTGATGCTAATGGCCAAGGCAAATGCGATACCGGTGACTGTGGTCGCCTTGAATGCCAAGGCTATGGCTCACCCCCAAACACCTTAGCTGAATTTGCCTTAAACCAACCTAACAACTTGGACTATGTCGACATTTCTCTTGTTGATGGTTTCAATATTCCGATGGAGTTCAGCCCCACCACCAATGTGTGCCGTAACCTCAGATGCACCGCTCCGATCAACGACCAGTGTCCGGCTGAATTACGGGCTCCCGGTGGCTGCAACAATCCATGCACAGTGTTCAAAACCAATCAATATTGTTGCACTGATGGGCCTGGGAGCTGTGGGCCTACTGATTTCTCCAAGTTCTTCAAGGAGAGGTGCCCGGATGCTTATAGCTACCCTCAGGATGATCCAACAAGCTTGTTCACTTGCCCTGCTGGTACCAACTACAGGGTTGTGTTCTGCCCATGAAGCTCTTTTCTTTCATGGCTATATGAGATATTCTCAACGAGCTCTTTGTGAATATTCACAAAGGCAGTCTAATAAACTGATGCACATGTAGTGATGTGCACATGATCTGCTGCTATACATGCAGTTATTTAGTTTTGTTATATGGTTTACAAGGAAATAAAGAATGAGAAATTAAACCTATCAGATAGAAATATCGAAAGTGATGCTTTGATCATATTACCATGGGTTTCTTTTATTTTGGTTCACATGTTATGCTGGATGATGATGGTAATTTTTAATAGGGTCGAACTCAAATATGACAGACTTAAAAATAACGTGACCTATTAATACGAACAATTAACAGATTATGTTAACATCAAAGACAAATAACCCAATTTTGACATGACAAACTCATTTAACATCAAAGACAAATAACCCAATGTTAACATCAAAGACAAATAACCCAATTTCTTTCGAGAGGACTTATTGCCGTCATACAGATTTTGATACTCCAATTGTTATAATGAAAAATAACCATTTTATGACAGTAGTAAAAAAAAAAATGTTCTTTGAAAACACCTTTTTTTTTTATGTCGGTGATCAAATCTACCACAAAAAATGTCTTAAAAAATCCGAATTCTTGTAGTGTTGGAAATCTCTTTTATCTTTTAATTTTCTCTCATCTTGCTTCTTCTAAGCAACCACAACATATTACAGCTGAATTATTTTTCCACGATTGGCTTCAAACCTGGTGGCATCTCAAGATTCAAAGGTATCGATTACCACATTAAAGGATATAGGAAAAAGCACAGATTCGAAAGAAAATATTTAACACGTGCCAATACTTAGGGGTGCAATTCGGGCGGATTGGACAGTCAACCCTAGGTATATAATTTTCAACCCTAACCCTACCCCGGGTTAAGGGATTCAACCCGAACACTGCCTGAGTTTAATTCGGGTGGGCTCGGGTTGAATTCGGGTTAATGATTTTGAACTACTTTATGGGTTAAATTCGGGTTAAGTCCAAAATAAACTTGTTGTTTTAAACCTAATACATATGTTACATAATATTCACCTAAATTAACAACCAATAACTTTAATCAAATTTTTAACATAAAAATCATAATATTAAGAACTCAATGTTTGAGATAATACAACCATAACCATACAAGTTAATAGAAATAAACAAAACACAAACACAAACATAGACACACAAACAGAATCCTTGCACAACCAGAAACAGAACACAAACAGAAACATAGACAAATACAAACAGAATCTTGCACAGAACCAATTTAACAAAAATAAACACAAACATAAATATAGAGTTCACTGCTGCCATTGCCTACTACTGCCACCAGTCCACTGTTGCCACTGCTACCACAACAAAACCACTGCCCATTGCAACCACTATCATCCATGAAGCAAAACAGATGAATCTCCAACACCCGGACATTCAACCCTAACAAATCATGTTTTGACCCATCTTCTTTTTGAATTTTTGTGAAATCAAGCCAAACATCAGATTTTTCAACATAAGTTTTTCGGCGTTTGGGACTTACCGAGTTCCTCTCATCAGAGTTGTCAGAAGCAGGCTCAGATGCAAGATTAGCCAGAGATTCAACATTTGTCTCCGTCTCCCCCATTAGTGACATGTATTGATTTACTATGCCATAAAATCAAAGAACAGAAAAATGGTCAATTTATACAGCTAAAAGTGAAATATTAGACTTGCACAAAATCTAAAATAAACACTGAAAAAAATAACTCCAAAAACATTTATTAGCTTTGAACAAAATCTAAAATAAACTCTGAACAAAATTTAAAAATTAACTCTGAACAAAATCTAAAATATAAACTCTGAAAAAATTGCATCTGAGACTCTTAACTATAGATAAATAATCAGAAATAGAGTGATCAAAATATCGAGCATGTTTTCTAATAAACTGAGAGTGAAAAGAGGTCTGAAAATTGACTCTGAAAATGTGAAAATAAAAATAAAAATTGCATACCTGATCTGATCTAAGATCGATGAAGGGAGAGGCGTAGACGGTAGATTTGCTTTGAGATGAGATCTCCTTTAAAGTGTAGATCTAATTTTTTTTTGATTGAGATGAAGGGAGAGTCGATTGAGATGAAGGGAGAGTCGATTGATCTGAGATAAGGAGTCTGAGAGAGGGAGGCAACGAAGAAGGAGGCTAGCTAAGAGAGGGAGGAGGCGCAAGTGAGAGGGATCTGAGAGTGAGATAGATCTGAGAATGGTAGTGAGAGAATGAAAAACGGATCTAAGACTTAGAGTGAATGAGGGAGACGCACAATGAAGACTTCAGAATAGATTAATTCTAGACTTAAAAAAGTATTTATATGGTTATAAATATTCGGGTTCAACCGGAGACCCGCCCAAATTGAATTCGGGTTGTGATTTTTTGACTCAAGTCCAACCCAAGTATTAAAAACCCTATCTCAAGTCTTAATTTTTTCGAGTTGAAATCGGTTTGTCCGCCCAAGTTGCACCCTAAGTTTATAGCTAGCAAGCTGTATGTTCTCTGCAAAAAAATTCAGCTTCATAAGCTAGCGCACCTAGAGGGTAAAATATGCCAACCTCTTACTCTCACCCTTGTCTGATGTTGCTGGTCCTCGGGTCCAAGATAGGTTGCTGAGGACGAAGCCAGCTGTAGCCGCGTAAGTTGGCGTTGGTGTTAGCATTTCCATGGGGCACAAACGCAGGATTCAACGGGAACTGATCTATAGGCACATGTTTCTCGGGTGAATCAACTTGAGCTGGAACATCATTATGGAAAAAGTTGGGCATGCCACACTCTGGCAGTCTAAAACAACCGTCTTCTTGGATAGGAGAAGGGTCATGTTGTTGTTGGAGATGCCCCTGAATTGGATTATCTTCAACTTGTATTGCCCCTGTAAGAGTCTTGAATGCAAAGTCATATTTGATATCATAAACCAATGTTCCTACACTGTCTGGGTGGCTTCCTCCCCTGGTGGAGGCAAGCGATTCGACCAGGGCCAGTCCTAGAACCTCAATGTGAACCCTAGCATGACACAGGCTCATATTTGGGGCCGAACCAAATGCAACTTTGATGCCAATGGCCAAGGCAGATGTGAGACTAATGACTGCAACAACCGCCTCGAATGCCAAGGCTATGACTCACCCCTAAACACCATAGCTGAATTTGTCATAAACCAGCCTAACAACTTGGACTATGTCGACATATCTCTTATCAATGGTGTTTCAATATTCCGATGGAGTTCGGCCCCACCACCGATGTGTGTCGTGATCTCAAATGTATTGCTCCGATCAACGACCAGTGTCCGGCCAAGTTACGGGCTCCAGGTGGCTGCAACAACCCTTGCACAGTGTTCCCAATCAACTAATATTGTTGCACCGATGGGCCAGGGAGCTGTGGGCCTACTGATTACTCCAGGTTCTTCAAGGATAGGTGCCTAGATGCTTATAGGTACCCTCCAAATGATGAAACAAGCTTGTTCACTTGCCCTAGTGGCACCAACTACAGGGTGGTGTTTTGCCCATGAAGCTCTATCCTTTCATGACTATATGAGAAAGTGATTAGATGCTTAGAATTTTCATATACTAAGGTATTGTAATAAATTCATGCACATGTGTAATGATGTGCATGTGATATGTTGCTATACATGCAGACATGTAGTCTTGTTCTATGATTACAAGTGAATAAAGGATGTTAAAGGGACAAATCGAAAGTGTCCCTTTTGATGATGCACAAAATGGTCTTACGCAAGATTAACAGTCAAGTGTGTGATAAAGTGCAATTAATAGACAATTAATAAAACAATCAATGATAATAATGTAAATATCGGGTCAATACGCTGATATATAGTGATTCGATTCAGGTGACATACTCCACTCTGAAAAAAGGCAACGGTGGCTGGGGGACCTTTTATTGATTAAGTAAGGTGAACGAGAGAGAGAAAACAATGGTTAGTCCCGAGAGGAATACAATAGCTAAGAGAGGTAAAAATTATGTGTGGGATGTGTAGAGGTCTCATCTCATGTAGAAAGAGATTACAATTTATAGGTATAGAGCCTTAGTTGAAGTCGTGACATAAGGGTATGAGATACTAGATCTTCGGGGAGCTACAAAAGGTACGTACAATTAAAGGTTGCATTGATATTTGAGAGTGAGTATTCTGATAATTGCTCCTCACGTGCTCTAAACCTTCTAGATTTCTTGAACTCTGAACTAGGCCGAATCCATAAATTGGGCTTGACCCGCCTTGTAGCTATTTTGGATCTAGCTCATTAATTACGCCTGGCCCAATTAAATTTGGGCTCGTCGTTTGCCCTCTATGCCCTAAGCCCTAGTAGTGATTAGGGGTTGAGGGCATGATTGAGCTCCTTCCTTTGGGTAGAACATATTTCTTATTCTATGTGGTGGCTTCTTCAACTTTTCATCCATGACATTTTTTAAGTTTATTTATCTATTTGGTAACGCCATTGTTAGAGAAAGGATTAAGAGAAGAATGAATGCTTCGACGCGTAGAGATAGAGATGCTTTGGCGAATGGCGCCATGGGTATGAACTTGGGCAACACCGGGACAGCATAAAACTGGGTGATAGCAGAGCAGTGATAGGTCAAGCTTTTGGTGACTTTCATGAGAGCCGCTAAGTTGGAGATATAGGTCGTTTGCGTGAGAGCAGAGACAGAGATAGGCTAAGCTTTTGGCGACTCTCATGAGAGCCGCTAAGTTGGAGATATAGGTTGCCTACGTAATAGTAGAGCAAAGATAGACCAAAATTTTCGCGACTTTCGTGTGAGCCGCTAAACTGGAGATATAGGTTGTCTGCTTGAGAGCTGAGTAGAGATAGGCCAAGTTTTTGGCGACTCGCGAGAAAGCCGTTAATCTGGAGATACAAATTGTCTGCATCAGAGTAGAGGCACAAATAGGTCAAGATTTCTGGTGACTCTCGTGAGAGCCGTTAAGCTAGAGATTGAGAAGCTGGCGCCACTGGGCGAGGACGCCGTGGGGCGTTGGACACCATTAGGCACAGACATCGAGGAGTGATGGACGCTGTTGGGCATGAACATCGAGTAAGGCTAGGTGCGATGGCGACAAAGTTGTGGACGACAAGAGGAGACACCATGGGCTAACTAGGCGACACCACAGCTAGAGGCAGAGAACAGCGCCACTGGCAGTGACTGGGCGACACCATTGAGTAATGGCCATAGGTGACGTAGGCTAGGGCGCTAGTTGGCAGGCGCTGGCGTTGGCTGGCTGGCATTGACTGGTGCTAAGCGCTGAGCACTGGTGTGCACGCTAAAGATTATGGGCGACACCTTGGAGCCGAGTGGTCTGAGCAACGCTTGCAGCAGGTGGTTTGGGCGACATCACTAGGTAGGCAGTGACCCTGATCGACACCTTGCAAGCTATCCGGGTGACGCCACTACATAGGCAGGTGTTGGCACTTTCTAGCGCTGGTGCTGGGCGCTGGGGCATTGGTTGGCACGTGCTTCAAGCTTGATTTGAGGTTCTCATATTTAGCTTGGTTGTTGGATATTGCTAAGTGGAAGGAGACAATGTACTTGAGTGGAGTGCCATGGGGGGCCATCAGCACTATTCCTGCGCCGTCATCCTCGCTGGTGGATGACTCATCCACGTACAAACATGGTACAGTAGATGGTAACGAGGGTGCAGAGGGCTCCCATGGAGTAGGCACAAAGGAGTTGGGCGCCTCTAGTCTCAGAATGTAATCTCCCAAGGCATATGGAGCTGTCTCCGAGACGTCGGGCTATCTCGGGATTGTGTCTGGGCTTGCCTCATGGTGGGTAGAGGCATTATGTGCTGAGCAGGCGAGCACAGAGGCGCGTGATACTTCCTCCCGGGATTCTTGTGGAGGTGTAGACTCCCGGGACTCCAATAGCGATGTAGACTCCCGTGGCGGTGAACACTCCTAGAACTCCCGTAGCGGTGTACACTCCCGTGACTCCCGTGGCAGTGTACACTCCCAGGGCTCCTGTAGCAGTGTACACTCCCGAGACTCCCGTGGCGTTGTAGACTCCTATGGCGGTGTAGACTCCTGGGACTCCCGTGGCGCTGTAGCTCCCAATACTTCCCATGGTGGTGTAAACTCCCGGGACTCCCATGGCGGTGTAGACTTCCGAGACTCCCACAATGATATAAATTCCCGAGACTTCTGTGGCGATGTAGACGACCAGAACACCCGTGGTGATGTAGACTCCCGGGCAAGGGGCACCCTGGTGCTGCTCGGGGGTGTTCTGGCGCGGGGCCCCATAGTGGGCAACGGCTTGGCGCCCAGAATGGAGAGATTGTAGTGCTTCTCTCATCGAAGGGAATGGTGCTCCTCCTAGAGGCTGAGGGGCGACGCCTCTCGAGTGAGCATCAACTGGATGATTTGTTGGTTTTGGTTTACCAACAGCTACATGGTCTGTAAAAGTTGTTGCCCAACAACGGGAGTCGCCGCAATGGATGGTTTTGCGGGAGCAAGCAAAGGCGAAGCCTCCTCCTATTAGGCCGAGTTGTTTTTTCCCAGTTGTTAACTCATCGACCTGGTCGTGATCACCATGTATTTGAAAGAGAGTAGTAAGGTAGTAGAAAACTTAATTGCTTCCCACAAACGGCATCAAACTGATGATGTATAAAACGGTCTTATGTAAGATCAAAAGTCGAGTGTGTGATAAAGTGTAATTAATGAACAATTAATAAAGTGTAATTAATGAACAATTAATAGAGCACAAAACCTTATTTATATATAATAAATACTGCTTAAATACATAATAAGTGATTCGTCACAAAAGAAATCAATAAAAATATATATTTGAGGGTTAAAAGTGTACAAGATATCTATTTAATATTACATTTAGAAAATTGAATTCTTAACTTATAAGCACAATAACGATTAAAATTGATCCAATCTTTATCCGCTTTGATTCAATTATACAAAATTTATCAAAAAAATAAAAAAAATCTGCTATAAAACATCAACTTCTCTTCTTGGCCTCCAATGTCAAACAATCTTATAAATCTATACCTACATCTCTATTATTTTAATTTTAAATTGTGTAATTAAATAAATTAAATTATTATTTAAAATATAAACATTACAAGATCGATTCATTTTTTAATAGTATATATTATTTTCAGACACGAGATGTTTACTTAGATGTATCAAAGTCATGTACCCAGTTTTTCCAGCTCATAGGAAAGGACTATCAAATTTTAACATTAAATTCTTTGTTATGACATAATGAATATGTCATCTGACCATGATAGCTACGTTAACAAAACAAAAGGACAGTCCAAATGATGTAATAATTGATATGATAAATGTGATGCATCTTTCTTCGTATATATATATAGTAGTGATTTACTAACAATTTAAGCGGTAAGAAAATCAACATTTATATCGGATTTTTTTATTTATTTATCATTTCGTTCTCTAAAAAAAGATAGCTTAGTTGGTCTCATTTTTTCTTATTTTTTTGTCCGATTAGCATGATAGTATTCATAATCGAGACGGTTAGATAACAATATATATAACTTTCAACAGCTCAGATTGTAACAAAATCAGTAAAAAAAAATAGTAATGGGCAAAAGAAAAGTAAACAATGGTCCCAAGTTTTCGAAGCTGATTCGGACTTAACATGAGAAGCAACGGACAGAAAACGTGGTTCACTTAAACTTTGTTCTGGACTTTTGCAGTCCATGTGTGTTTAATATATGATGATTTTCAACATTAGACAAGAGAGATTAACGGTCTAGATTTATGCCCATGGACTGTTAGGCTACGAAGTCCAGTCTCAATGTATGTGGAAAATCAGAAATGTAGAGATAAGGGTTCATTTTCGCAGGCCCCATTATGGATCCTGAGTTTTTTTTTTTTTTCCATTATATTTGGCACGATAAGTAAGTATTTGCCTCACTGTATTATTATTTTTTTTTTTTGATATGTTCTAATAGTATTTCGTTCAAATGAAATTGCTCTGACTGTAAAATTACTTCAAAATTACCAAAAAAAATTTCGGAAGGTAAACCTTTGAATAGGTTCATTGTTCCAACCTAGAATACAATTAATCCAGCATGGACTACATGAACCCCCACTAGTTTACCAGATAAATTGATAAGTCGGGCATTCTCGGCCCACCAAGCAAAATCGGTGATTTTTTAGTCACGACTAACTAAAGCTAAAGTTTCATTAAATAGCGTTTTCATGGACAGCATCATTGTGGTAAAGGTCGTAATTCTAGAGATATCATTATTGCAGGGCATAGAGGGGGAGGTCATAAGCGTCTATACCTTAAATTCGATTTTCAACGGAATGAAAAAGACAATATATGGTAGAATCATAACCATAGAATACGACCCTAATTGAAATACATACATTTGTCTCATAATCAAATTATTACTATATTTATTCTTTTTTTTACTTCTTCTTCCAAGTGTAAGATAACCCCAAGGGGTTATGGGTTTTTTCTACCAATTGGGCCCCTCCCTTCACCACCCCATGGGGATCGTCTATAGGGTGTATAACTACTCATCTTATTGCATGACGCTTACCTAACCAATGCTTAAATCCAGGAAAGATCCAACGTAATTTTATACGAATATTACTGAGAGATAGAGTCAAAATTGAAGTAAGTCATTATGATTTAACTCGAAGGCGTATAATTTATCGTTTCCCCAACAAGGAACTCTTAATCTTATCATTAAATAATCCGAGTATGAAACTCTGCTAATTAGCAAAGAATTTCATTCAAGAGGTGAAATGATTTCTCACCCACAATTGAAATGGAATTGTTGGCCTTGTTTTGTTGTTCATATTTATTTTCTAAATGTAGAAGACAACACCACCAGGTTTGATTAGTCGTTTATTTTTTTCAAGTATAAATAGCATTTTCCACCTTATAGTAACGCCATCATCTTTTACCCACTAGGGTTGTCTCAAAACATTTCAAATCCTGAATGCCCATTTTTCTTGTTTCAATTTTTATCACATGAATGGATTGGCCTAACTACAACTCCACGTATTGGATTTGGACACATCCACTCCTTCACTCATGTCTTTTAGTGCATGAAGAGAAGTCCAACAAAATCTTTGATTTTTCTTAGAAAAATTTAGGATAAAATACAATTTTACTCCCCAAAATATGTCTATAATGTCTATTTGGTCCATAAAATTCATAATTTATATTTATTTAGTTCTTAATTTGTGTCTATTTGGTCTCACGTGATTAGAGTTTGACTAAAGATATTAACGATTTTTTTATGAACTTTTGGAATTGGAGCACATAGATACAAATTAAAAACCTTAGGAATCAAATAGACACAATTGAAAGATTGGAGATCAAATAGACAATGAATACATATTTTAGAGGCTAAAAGTGTATTTTACCCAAAAACTTATGGTAGAAATGATCACGTAAACTACTCATAAAGGCCTCCATTCCTCTATATAAACCCCCCCCCCCCCCCCCACCCCTTTGGCTCACTTACACAACCCTATAAAGCCATCATACTTGCCAAATTAAGCCTAAAATTAAACACAACCTACCTTCCTCCACTTGATACCAAATACCAAAATGAGCTTAACAAAAACCATGGGTGTGTTCTTCTCTCCTCTTTAACCTATGCTTCACCTTCACCAATGCAGCCACATTTGATATCATAAATCAATGTTCCTACACCGTCTGGGCGGCTGCTTCCCCTGATGGAGGCAGGCGACTCGACCAGGGCCAATCCTGGAATCTCAATGTGAACCCTGGCACGACCAATGCTCGTATTTGTGGCCGAACCAATTGCAACTTTGATGCCAATGGCCAAGGCAGATGTGAGACCGGTGACTGCAACGGTCGCCTCGAATGCCAAGGCTATGGCACACCACCAAACACCCTAGCTGAATTTGCCCTAAACCACCAAACAAGCTTGTTCACTTGCCCTAGTGGCACCAACTACAGAGTGGTGTTCTGCCCATGAAGCTCTATCCTTTCATGGCTATATGAGAAAGTGATTAGATACTTAGAATTTTCATATACTACGGTATTGTAATAAATTCATGCACATGTGTAGTGATGTGCACGTGATCTGTTGCTATACATGCTGTTAGAGTATGTATGGCTCATATTTGCTGTGTGCATAATGGCAAGGAGGCAGATGCCGGAACGGGCGGAGCGTAGCGGAGTGGAGCGAAGCGAAATGTAGCGGAGCGGAGCCCGCGACGGCATCTGCCTTGCGGGATTTATATAAAGGGGACGCTGATTAGTTGGGGGTGCAGGGGCAACGCCCCCGCGGTACGGTACAAGGGTATTTTTTGTAAATACGTCCGTATTAGGGTTATATAAATACTTAAGATGTAACCCTACTTTAAATAATGACAAAGAACGGCCGCTCGCTTTCGTGGATGTAGGCACATTGCCGAACCACGTAAATCTCTGTGTGTTATTTTCTCCTTCTTTCTTAATTGTTTGATTTTTTACTATTTACCATAATTGCTGCACGATCACAACACATGTAGACACGTAGTCTTGTTCTATGATTACAAGTGAATAAAGGATGTTAAAGGGAGACATCGAAAGTGTTCCTTTGATCACATTATACCAAGGGTTTTCATTTCTTTCGGTTCATATTTAGTAAGGGTGACAATTTTTTCCACGTGTAGTTCCAAAAAAGTTGATAATTTTAAAATAACACGATTCATTATTATAACTTAAATTAGTGTCGAAGGCAAATAATTCGATTTACGATTTTAAAGAATACACGCACCTCAAGCACGACTCAAACAAGATGCCACATGAGGTTTTTCAAAGATAGATGTTTGAGATGCTTCTAATTATCTTGAAGACGATTAAAAGTGAAATTGTAATAATGATATTTTTTATCTCACTTTTATTAATTTAAAATATACAGAATATATCAGTTGTTACATCATTTAGATTATATTTGTTATCTCTTTTTTCTATTTGCGTAGCAATTATTCATTAAGTATAGCGTTCGAGAAGAATGGATAATCTTAAATAGTTACTAATTAAATACAAACTACAAGCTAGGCTTCTTTCAGGTGTGAAATATTAGCAAGTGAGTTTTGACTAGGGCAAGAGCACTTAGTTAGAAAACCTCAAACACGAGATTGGCCACCGATTTATGATAAAGTTTATCAGGTCTTCTTCTAATCTCAAAAATGAAAAAAAAAAAAAAAAAAACAATGTTATTTGAATCCCACTTCCAATCTACTTATAAGGGGAATTCTCCCCTCCACAAAAGATTCTGGCTGACTTGGGTGAACACCTAGTAGCCTTTACCTCTCGTTCCACATCGTGAGAGAGTCATCTCCCCCCCTATCATATAGTGAACACCCACTATGGAGGAGGTACCTCCTAGCCACCTGCCTTTTTGTAGGGAATTCATCCCTTCCACGGAAAGATTCTAGCTGACCTGGGTGAACATCCAGTAGCCTTTACCTCTCGTCCCACATTAGGAGAGAGTCGTCTCCCCTTTGCCATATAGGTGAACACCCACTATGAATTGAATATACATGGGATCTCGGCTCATCTCAATCCGAATCAAATTCAAAAAATCCAATCCAATTATCCAAAAAAGTTCATTTTGAGACTTAATATTTGAATCTGGTGAGGTTTAAAAGCTAATAATATCTATATTTGAATTCAGAAAAATTGCGGCTTTATTTCAACTCAACTTCATCAAATAACCACTAAATTTTAGGGGTGAAAATAGTGGCATGTCATTGCAGGTTCGTGTCGAGCACTAATCAACCCTAAACCAATTTATTTAACTAATCATGTCGTAAAGATTGATCTGTTTATTTTTATGTCAAATTTATGTTCATATTCTTGTTGACTCATATAAATCTCGAATAAAGAACTTAATGCTAAGATTTAAGTTTAAGATTCTATTATTAATTAATTGAATCTATAATCATACTTTTTCTATAAATTAAAATTAATTTAATAAACATAAAAATAATAATGAGTAAAAATGCCTCTTTTGTACAATAATTATGTCAATACCTAATAAACAATAACAAATAATTAGTATTTTATTTTTCTATTATTAGTTAAACGTGTTAATTATGTCAATTTCACTTAATGTTCGATTAATCAAATTTAAATTCAGACCAAATCTGAATTAAAATCCACTCCATCATGATAAAAAAAAATCGAATTTCTGAAAACTAAAATAACTTGTCGGTCGAGTCTATATTCCACAACTGACTGAAAAGAAATGAACCATAAATTGAGGATAACTCCTACTTTTCTTCATGCCAAACTCTATCTAGAAAAAATGACATCTCGAACATTTACCCGAACATGCGGGACATGATTTATGACTATTAATCAATGTATGGGTCGAAGTCAATGGATAAGTGTTTTTTTTCCGCGAAAGCTACATTCTAGCAGTCCAAACAGTTTGCCTTTCATAGGAAAGAACTATCAAATTTAAACCGAATCGTCTAATCGTAACTAAAGTCTTTCTTCGTTGTTACGTAACATTTAATCATTTGTCAATTATTTTATGTAAACGATAAATCTATCTTATTTGTGAAATGAAGAAGAAAAAAACCACGCTATATAGATTGCGAGACTTAATTCTAAATCGCGTGGGACAACTATAAAAATGATCATATACCGATGTTACATTTTCTGGGATAGTGAATAGATTGTCTTATGGTGCTATATATAATTAAAAAGGTCACATAACAATGCTATAAAATTTTTGAAAGTTCCGATTGTAGGAAAATCAGCAAAAAATAGGGAAAAAAAAAAGAGTTAGGGAGAAGAAAAGTAAACTGTGGCTGCTAGTTTTCGGAACTGATAGGGACCTAATATGAGAAGCTACGGGGTTGAAGACGTGGTTCACTCAAACTTTGTTCTTGACTTTTTTTTTTTTTTACATTCTAGCACTCAAACTTCGGGTTCATTTTCATATTGAAATGGCTTAATCTCCCTTCAAATTTTTTTTCCTCCCCACATGAGCTAGCTTTTTTATGTAAATAACAAGTAGGGAGGATGCAACAATCAGGGTAAAAACTGAGCTTCTAGGACTCATTTAATAGATATGCTTCAATACTTTGTGTGACATTTTTTATTTTTTAAGGAGATTCGATTGTCGATTATAGGACTAGCCTATTTGCATATAAAAGAAAGGGTCATACCCTTTAAATGGCTGGGTATGAAATTCTTATAATTAGCAAGGGTTCCATTCAAGAGGTGATATAATTACCCACTGTGAAAAAATTCAGAATGAATACAAGAATAGATTGGCCTAACTAAAACTCCTCGTAATGGACACATTTCACTCCTTGACTCATGTCTTCTAGTGCATGAAGAAAAGTCCAACAAAACCTTTAATTTTACTTTGAAAAACTAATGGTGGAAATGACCACGTAAACGCCACATAAAGGCCTCCACTCCTCTATATAAACTCCCCCAGCCCTTTGGCTCATATACACGAAACCATCATACTTGCACATAACCAAACCTTCATCCACTTTATACCAACTACCACTATGAGCTCAACTAAAACAATGTTTCTGTTTTTTTCCCTTCTCTTTACCCTGTACTTCACTTCCACCTTCACCAATGCAGCCACATTTGATATCACAAACCGATGTCCCTACACCGTCTGGGCAGCTGCCTCCCCCGGTGGAGGCAGGCGACTCGACCAAGGCCAGACCTGGAACATCAATGTGAACCCTGGCACGACCCAGGCTCGTATTTGGGGCCGAACCAATTGCAACTTTGATGCTAATGGCCAAGGCAAATGCGATACCGGTGACTGTGGTCGCCTTGAATGCCAAGGCTATGGCTCACCCCCAAACACCTTAGCTGAATTTGCCTTAAACCAACCTAACAACTTGGACTATGTCGACATTTCTCTTGTTGATGGTTTCAATATTCCGATGGAGTTCAGCCCCACCACCAATGTGTGCCGTAACCTCAGATGCACCGCTCCGATCAACGACCAGTGTCCGGCTGAATTACGGGCTCCCGGTGGCTGCAACAATCCATGCACAGTGTTCAAAACCAATCAATATTGTTGCACTGATGGGCCTGGGAGCTGTGGGCCTACTGATTTCTCCAAGTTCTTCAAGGAGAGGTGCCCGGATGCTTATAGCTACCCTCAGGATGATCCAACAAGCTTGTTCACTTGCCCTGCTGGTACCAACTACAGGGTTGTGTTCTGCCCATGAAGCTCTTTTCTTTCATGGCTATATGAGATATTCTCAACGAGCTCTTTGTGAATATTCACAAAGGCAGTCTAATAAACTGATGCACATGTAGTGATGTGCACATGATCTGCTGCTATACATGCAGTTATTTAGTTTTGTTATATGGTTTACAAGGAAATAAAGAATGAGAAATTAAACCTATTAGATAGAAATATCGAAAGTGATGCTTTGATCATATTACCATGGGTTTCTTTTATTTTGGTTCACATGTTATGCTGGATGATGATGGTAATTTTTAATAGGGTCGAACTCAAATATGACAGACTTAAAAATAACGTGACCTATTAATACGAACAATTAACAGATTATGTTAACATCAAAGACAAATAACCCAATTTTGACATGACAAACTCATTTAACATCAAAGACAAATAACCCAATGTTAACATCAAAGACAAATAACCCAATTTCTTTCGAGAGGACTTGTTGCCGTCATACAGATTTTGATACTCCAATTGTTATAATGAAAAATAACCATTTTATGACAGTAGTAAAAAAAAAAAATTCTTTGAAAACACCTTTTTTTTTTTATGACGGTGATCAAACCTACCACAAAAAATGTCTTAAAAAATCCGAATTCTTGTAGTGTTGGAAATCTCTTTTATCTTTTAATTTTCTCTCATCTTGCTTCTTCTAAGCAACCACAACATATTACAGCTGAATTATTTTTCCACGATTGGCTTCAAACCTGGTGGCATCTCAAGATTCAAAGGTATCGATTACCACATTAAAGGATATAGGAAAAAGCACAGATTCGAAAGAAAATATTTAACATGTGCCAATACTTAGGGGTGCAATTCGGGCGGATTGGACAGTCAACTCTAACTCAACCCTAGGTATATAATTTTCAATCCTAACCCTACCCCGGGTTAAGGGATTCAACCCGAACACTGCCCGAGTTTAATTCGGGTGGACTCGGGTTGATGGGTGGACTCGGGTTGATTTCGGGTTAATGATTTTGAACTACTTTATGGGTTAAATTCGGGTTAAGTCCAAAATAAACTTGTTGTTTTAAATCTAATACATATGTTACATAATATTCACCTAAATTAACAACCAACAACTTTAATCAAATTTTTAACATAAAAATCATAATATTAAGAACTCAATGTTTGAGATAATACAACCATAACCATACAAGTTAATAGAAATAAACAAAACACAAACACAAACATAGACACACAAACAGAATCCTTGCACAACCAGAAACAGAACACAAACAGAAACATAGACAAATACAAACAGAATCCTTGCACAGAACCAATTTAACAAAAATAAACACAAACAGAAATATAGAGTTCACTGCTGCCATTGCCTACTACTGCCACCAGTCCACTGTTGCCACTACTACCACAACAAAACCACTACCCATTGCAACCACTACACAACCACTGTCATCCATGAAGCAAAACAGATGAATCTCCAACACCCGGACATTCAACCATAACAAATCAGGTTTTGACCCATCTTCTTTTTGAATTTTTGTGAAATCAAGCCAAACATCAGATTTTTCAACATAAGTTTTTCGGCGTTTGGGACTTACCGAGTTCCTCTCATCAGGGTTGCCAGAAGCAGGCTCAGATGCAAGATTAGCCAGAGATTTAACATTTGTCTCCGTCTCCCCCATTAGTGACATGTATTGATTTACTATGCCATAAAATCAAAGAACAGAAAAATGGTCAATTTATACAGCTAAAAGTGAAATATTAGACTTGCACAAAATCTAAAATAAACACTAAAAAAAATAACTCCAAAAACATTTATTAGCTTTGAACAAAATCTAAAATAAACTCTGAACAAAATTTAAAAATTAACTCTGAACAAAATATAAAATATAAACTCTGAAAAAATTGCATCTGAGACTCTTAACTATAGATAAATAATCAGAAATAGAGTGATCAAAATATCGAGCATGTTTTCTAATAAACTGAGAGTGAAAAGAGGTCTGAAAATTGACTCTGAAAATGTGAAAATAAAAATAAAAATTGCATATCTGATCTGATCTAAGATCGATGAAGGGAGAGGCGTAGACGGTAGATTTGCTTTGAGATGAGATCTCCTTTAAAGTGTAGATCTAATTTTTTTTTGATTGAGATGAAGGGAGAGTCGATTGAGATGAAGGGAGACTCGATTGATCTGAGATAAGGAGTCTGAGAGAGGGAGGCAACGAAGAAGGAGGCTAGCTAAGAGAGGGAGGAGGCGCAAGTGAGAGGGATCTGAGAGTGAGATAGATCTGAGAATGGTAGTGAGAGAATGAAAAACGGATCTAAGACTTAGAGTGAGTGAGGGAGACGCACAATGAAGACTTCAGAATAGATTAATTCTAGACTTAAAAAAGTATTTATATGGTTATAAATATTCGGGTTCAACCCGAGACCCGCCCAAATTGAATTCGGGTTGTGATTTTTTGACTCAAGTCCAACCCAAGTATTAAAAACCTTAACTCAAGTCTTAATTTTTTCGAGTTGAAATCGGTTTGTCCGCCCAAGTTGCACCCTAAGTTTATAGCTAGCAAGCTGTATGTTCTCTGCAAAAAATTATCCATCTTTCAGCTTCATAAGCTAGCGCACCTAGAGGGTAAAATATGCCAACCTCTTACTCTCACCCTTGTCTGATGTTGCTGGTCCTCGGGTCCAAGATAGGTTGCTGAGGACGAAGCCAGCTGTAGCCGCGTAAGTTGGCGTTGGTGTTAGCATTTCCATGGGGCACAAACGCAGGATTCAACGGGAACTGCTCTATAGGCACATGTTTCTCGGGTGAATCAACTTGAGCTGGAACATCATTATGGAAAAAGTTGGGCATGCCAGACTCTGGCAGTCTAAAACAACCGTCTTCTTGGATAGGAGAAGGGTCATGTTGTTGTTGGAGATGCCCCTGAATTGGATTATCTTCAACTTGTATTGCCCCTGTAAGAGTCTTGAATGCAAAGTCATATTTGATATCATAAACCAATGTTCCTACACTGTCTGGGTGGCTTCCTCCCCTGGTGGAGGCAAGCGATTCGACCAGGGCCAGTCCTAGAACCTCAATGTGAACCCTAGCATGACACAGGCTCATATTTGGGGCCGAACCAAATGCAACTTTGATGCCAATGGCCAAGGCAGATGTGAGACTAATGACTGCAACAACCGCCTCGAATGCCAAGGCTATGACTCACCCCTAAACACCATAGCTGAATTTGTCATAAACCAGCCTAACAACTTGGACTATGTCGACATATCTCTTATCAATGGTGTTTCAATATTCCGATGGAGTTCGGCCCCACCACCGATGTGTGTCGTGATCTCAAATGTATTGCTCCGATCAACGACCAGTGTCCGGCCAAGTTACGGGCTCCAGGTGGCTGCAACAACCCTTGCACAGTGTTCCCAATCAACTAATATTGTTGCACCGATGGGCCAGGGAGCTGTGGGCCTACTGATTACTCCAGGTTCTTCAAGGATAGGTGCCTAGATGCTTATAGGTACCCTCCAGATGATGAAACAAGCTTGTTCACTTGCCCTAGTGGCACCAACTACAGGGTGGTGTTTTGCCCATGAAGCTCTATCCTTTCATGACTATATGAGAAAGTGATTAGATGCTTAGAATTTTCATATACTAAGGTATTGTAATAAATTCATGCACATGTGTAATGATGTGCATGTGATATGTTGCTATACATGCAGACATGTAGTCTTGTTCTATGATTACAAGTGAATAAAGGATGTTAAAGGGACAAATCGAAAGTGTCCCTTTTGATGATGCACAAAATGGTCTTACGCAAGATTAACAGTCAAGTGTGTGATAAAGTGCAATTAATAGACAATTAATAAAACAATCAATGATAATAATGTAAATATCGGGTCAATACGCTGATATATAGTGATTCGATTCAGGTGACATACTCCACTCTGATAAAGGGCAACGGTGGCTGGGGAACCTTTTATTGATTAAGTAAGGTGAACGAGAGAGAGAAAACAATGGTTAGTCCCGAGAGGAATACAATAGCTAAGAGAGGTAAAAGTTATGTGTGGGATGTGTAGAGGTCTCATCTCATGTAGAAAGAGATTACAATTTATAGGTATAGAGCCTTAGTTGAAGTCGTGACATAAGGGTATGAGATACTAGATCTTCGGGGAGCTACAAAAAGTACATACAATTAAAGGTTGCATTGATCTTTGAGAGTGAATATTCTGATAATTGCTCCTCAGGTGCTCTAAACCTTCTAGATTTCTTGAACTCTGAACTCGGCCGAATCCATAAATTGGGCTTGACCCGCCTTGTAGCTATTTTGGATCTAGCTCATTAATTACGCCTGGCCCAATTAAATCTGGGCTCGTCGTTTGCCCTCTATGCCCTAAGCCCTAGTAGTGATTAGGGGTTGAGGGCATGATTGAGCTCCTTCCTTTGGGTAGAACATATTTCTTATTCTATGTGGTGGCTTCTTCAACTTTTCATCCATGACATTTTTTAATTTATTTATCTATTTGGTAACGCCATTGTTAGAGAAAGGATTAAGAGAAGAATGAATGCTTCGACGCGTAGAGATAGAGATGCTTTGGCGAATGGCGCCATGGGTATGAACTTGGGCAACACCGGGACAGCATAAAACTGGGTGATAGCAGAGCAGTGATAGGTCAAGCTTTTGGTGACTTTCATGAGAGCCGCTAAGTTGGAGATATAGGTCGTTTGCGTGAGAGCAGAGACAGAGATAGGCTAAGCTTTTGGCGACTCTCATGAGAGCCGCTAAGTTGGAGATATAGGTTGCCTACGTAATAGTAGAGCAAAGATAGACCAAAATTTTCGCGACTTTCGTGTGAGCCGCTAAACTGGAGATATAGGTTGTCTGCTTGAGAGCTGAGTAGAGATAGGCCAAGTTTTTGGCGACTCGCGAGAAAGCCGTTAATCTGGAGATACAAATTGTCTGCATCAGAGTAGAGGCACAAATAGGTCAAGATTTCTGGTGACTCTCGTGAGAGCCGTTAAGCTAGAGATTGAGAAGCTGGCGCCACTGGGCGAGGACGCCGTGGGGCGTTGGACACCATTAGGCACAGACATCGAGGAGTGATGGACGTTGTTGGGCATGAACATCGAGTAAGGCTAGGTGCGATGGCGACAAAGTTGTGGACGACAAGAGGAGACACCATGGGCTAACTAGGCGACACCACAGCTAGAGGCAGAGAACAGCGCCACTGGCAGTGACTGGGCGACACCATTGAGTAATGGCCATAGGTGACGTAGGCTAGGGCGCTAGTTGGCAGGCGCT